CACCCCTCACAGGAGGTGGGGGAGGGTTTGTTCCCTAAAAAGTGCATGGTGGTGGTGGTGGTGGTGGTGGTGGGATTCGGAATTCTGTCATTAATAAAAAGCCATTTCGGTGGGCAGATTTATGGCGCTGCCATGTTAACAAGGGAGAAGGAGCGTTTCCAGCCCCGCTATTAACGCTTCACATTCTGTACACAATCCACCAGTACGCTTGACAAATTAAAGTAGTAAAAGATCTGAAGACTATAATCTATCATTTTAATGCTTCGCTGATAACGCACAGAATCAATTCCAATGACTATCTCTTTAAAAAATTACAACAAAACTCCGTCCCGTTTGGCGCCTATTAGAATTCAGTGTACCAGCAAGTATCATACATTAGCTAACGCAGTGCACAACATCTTAGTTCCCTGAAAGGATCCAAATTCACAGTTCAGACCAACGTTTCCCTTTAACCCACTGTGCTCCCGGGGTCCGCCTGGAGCATAAACAGCACAAGCAGCTACACGGGGACCTGCACAGGCTCAGCAACTCACTCACGGGCTGGCCTGACCTGCCTCCTTGGCACATTAAGGGTCTCACAAATCAGCCATCGGCGAGGACCCCAAAGAGTTGATCTTGCATGCTAATGGTAAAACACATCTCCAAAAGCAGAGTTTGTAAAGTATTAACTCTGACTTGCCCAACCACTTGTCCACAAGTGGTAATATTTTAGTGCATTTTTTTATGTTTCAATCAATGTTTTTGATTAACCACAAAGTTACGGCTTTGACATGAGAGCGCAGGTAGCTGTTGCTAATTCACAGTGGGTGAAGATGAAGATCTCTATTGCACAACTTGCATCAGAATTCCACATACCAGCAAGGTATCCAGATTTAACTCTGCAAAAGTATCTATAAGTACAGATAAAATATTTCACACTACCATGGACAAAAATATTTTTACCTGCAATTCAGCTTGTGTTGACTAAAAAAAATTCTGCTTAATATATTTTCACAAATTTTCATAGAATTACCATGTCCAAGTCAGAATGGTACCAGGGCAGTATTACCACACAGGCTCATTTATTATACCAGCAAAATAATAAAATCTTCATTGTGTGTCAACAAAATAGTAATTAACAATACAATACTAAATATACGATAAAAATAAATCATTAGCTAAAGCATAACTTAAAAATATTTGGAAACAGAATACGCTGAAGACTTGAAATATTACACATAAATTTCCCTCAGCTTTCTGATGAAACTGCATAAATGTACAGTGAGCATCAAAAGGTTAATGCACGCGTGAAGTGAGTAATAGTTTACCCTCGATGCTCTGCTTAATTTTTCTGGATCTGCAGAACAGGAAAAGATAGCAAAATTCCCTGAGAGAACACAAACCTATGGCTATACAGAGTGCTGCTAATATGTTAAAAAAAGAGCAACAGGCACTGTATGGCTGCTTGTGCCCCATATGTTAATTACCATCTATTTAATTTCCTAGCATTACAATTCTATAAAAAGTGGCTAAGAAGAACATTTCCGTGAAGTTATGATCAATTACAGTTTATAATGTTTAATATACACAAGGCAACGATCTGACTACATTCGCTGAAACCGCAAAACATGTACAGCAGAATCTTCTTCCAGAGGCTGGCTCTGTAAACTGCAGCTGCACACCACTCTTCATTTCAAGTGCAGATTTCTCCTGATTAGGGAGAGGGAAGTTGAAAGTTCATCATTAACCAAAAAACCTCAAACGTACATATCAAACCCAGTCCAAATATCCATCCCCTTCCACAGTTTTCTGCACAGACAGATAAATATACATATTACTAAAGTAAAAAACTAAATAGAAACAACACAAATTTTATTTTTTTAAAAATCTGAAAAAGGGACATAGTTATTAAATATATCATCTTTGTACCCTGTGGTTTAATATTTCATATGGAATCCCAGAAAAAAAAAGTACTTTAATTGAACCTTCAATATATTTTGCCATAATCTTTATGTTAACAGGACTCCTCCAAAGGTTCCAGGAAAGACATACTTATGAAACAGAGAACAAGGGAACATATAAGCCATTACAGAAGATTGGATTAAAATGTACTTACCCAGGCCTCTCAAATATCATACATCTCCATTATGTAGGCTTTAGGCACCAAGCCAATGGTTCCCTTCATTTCTCCTACCCACCAGCCAAATCTATTGTACTCCTAATTGAAAACAATACGCAGTATTAACCTTTAGTCTGATATAAATGCAATGGAGTTTTGTATGCAACTCCTTATGGATGCTTTCTCTTATATGCAGTTATAATAATTTCAACTGAAAATTAAAACATTTTATCTTTTTGTTATAGGAATTCACATGCAAAGGCAGAAGCTAAATTTTAAAAAGGCCAGGCATACTCAAGAAAATTTCTTAATTATGGCCATGCTTCTCTAACACCCACTAAAAGCAGCCAACCTCCTTATCCTCTGTTCATCATCCTCTTGTCTTTGTAACTAAAATCTAACAGCACAATGTTGACATATAACAATCAACAGGATTCTTTTAGTATCACAAGCTAAACTCTAAGAAACTAACCATCAACTTATTTTAAAAACTACTTCACTTAAATGTGAAGGGAACACTGTATATCTAATACATAATATATTTATATGGACAAAGTCTACTATTGCTTTAGGCTTGCAGAAAATTCTACAGCAGATCTCATATTCCTGACAGATGACTAATGTACTCCTGTTTCAAGTATGTTTAGGCTTAGTGACTTAAATATGAAACAAAATGAATTATAATAGTTTAAAGAAATAATATCTTCTAAAAGCAGTACCAAGTAAGACTATTGTGGTATTGTGGTATATAATTATTGTAAAAATAAAATGATGTAATATTGATATGTAATTATTGTATATTGTGGTATATAATTTACTTTTTTCCTATTTTAAGATCAATCCTAACAATGGTTCAATAAATTGTAACAGCTGGAACTGCACACACACATATACTGAGTTACAAATGAAGCATTATTAAAACTAAATGATTAGTAAAACAGAAATTACTTTGGAGCAAATGTACAAAGTACAAAATACACAGATACATCTGATAAGCAACATCTGTTTCCTGCTACACTGCTCTTCTGATAAGAATTTTGAATTACCAGTGCTACTGAAATGAAGCTACTATTTTGAACTGTCGGTAAAGTTTTTTGGTTATAAATAGCCAAGTGGAGCTTAAGGGTTAATGGAGTTTCATTAGAGCCTGAGCTATAATGATTTGCTGCTGGCATATTTTGCCTGGTCAAGAGTTCTCTGGGGTCCTATGAGGTGCTTAGTATACTCAGCTCTCTCTCTGCTTAACTACGATGGCCCGCTTTCATGTGGGCTTTTTTTCTTTTTTCTTTTTTCTTTGCCTTTTGCCTTTTTTTTTGCCTTTTGTTTTTTTTTATGCCTGCATGCAGGCACACACAGTTTTATATCTTCTAATTGTGGAAGGGTGAACATTAGTCTTCAATTAAACATTTTCTTCCTTTTCTTAACAGTTGATTGGTGATTTAGAAGATTCTATCCTACTATGCATAAAACACTGCAATGTGATTTAAAGGAAATCCACTCAAAAAACAGCAGGAAAACCTTCATTTATTATGTGAACATGCAAACAAGAAAGCTGCAAATTCCACCCTCTTTCCCCTTCCACTGCAAAGCAGACTGCTAGGGATGGGCTTGGTCTTGAAAGTCTAGAGGTATCTGAACCTGATCTTCAGTCACACTGCTCTCCACAGAAGTTAATAACCTTTCCCATGGGGCCTCACATTACACCCCAAATCCTTAAAGGCGAAACACTGAGGTTTATAATCTTCCAGATCAGCCTGTTTAAAAATCTATGCTTTATCTCACAATACACTGTTTAAATATACAAACTAGAATTCAAGACCAAAGTGGGAAATTGCTGAAAGGAGCGGCACTCACGTATACTACTGGAATCTCAGCAATAAATCTCTCCAACAGAAAGCAACAAAAGATTTTAAGCTGCTACATGGAATTTGCACAGTGACTGACAAGAGTGATTAAGCAAGTTTTGCTAGACATCAGCCAAAAAAACAAACAATACATGAAATGAGGGAAGTGGCTCAGTTAAGCAGCCATTAAACTGCTTATGACAAATGGCACAGAAAAAGTCTGTGGATTACATTAGCCATTGAAAATGTTCCACTTAGCAACACTACATGGACTTAGAAACAATTGTTTTTAAAGAAACAATTCAGATAGCTCAAATTAAAATTAAAAGCATGCTGCTGTTTTGAAAACTTTCTGGGTTTTGCTACTTACTTATACACCACTTACTGCTCTGGCATGAAGCTAAGTGAGAAGATGAAATGAATGTTGATGTAACAGACTAGTAAACTAATTTAAGGATTCAATGCAACCATTATACCGTACCAACAATATTGCAACACAGAAGCTCTTACTTTACATTACTATTCTTTGTGTGGGTCTCAAGAGCAACATGAATCCCAATTAAACTATCTGCAGTCTATAGAAGTCTGAACAAAAATATAATGCAGATACCTGGCTACCAAGAACATAAAACCTTAATCTCTGGTTGTAGAATAATTAGATAGCAGTCCCTTTTAAACTGATTAAAGTACAGACATTTCTCTTTAAACTCCTAACCCCTCCTTCCTATCCTCAGTAACATGAAAGAATGCTTAACTAGTGAGGCAGATAAGCTGCCCCCCCCAGTCCTTTCTTGAAGTCACCCATAAAATCCAAATTGATCTATTGTTTCTATCAATGTTATCAATTATAAACTCCTTTGCAGCAATATAATTTCATTAACACACTGCTGTTGTGGGGTCCATATGTCTATTACTGCTGCTTAAGATGTGTAGAATAAAAGTCTGCAGTCCACATTTGTGGAAAATAAGGATTAATACACCAAAGGATATGAATACAGTTAGGAGTTTTATATGAATAAAAAAGTTGGGAAACATGGTTCTTTTGCAAGCATCAGCTTCAGATCTCAGGTACCACTGGGTTTACCATCTGGTATCCCTCACTGCATTCAGCTCTTAATATCACTGCTAACATAGGCAAGCGACTATACTTCAGAAGGACTGATAAAATAATGAAGAGTCCTTTAATCTACAGGAAACCATTGTAGTCAATTTATAAGAAATATTGCATCCCTTTGTAGGATGTGTAATTATTTTCTATTAATCATGTGCTATAAAGCTACATTATGTGGTTATTCTGTTATCACTAGAAAGAGGCCTGCAGTCAGCTCCTGACAATGTTAGGTAATTACTAACACAAAGCTTCTTTCTCCTTATGTAGAAACGCTATCAAGATCCAGAGGTGCTGTGATGCTCGCTGTATGAAAATAACTCTCCAAAGAAATTCAATAACTGCAAAATGAATTGCTCCAAGGCAAATAGAGGGATAGGAGAGGGGGGCAGGGCCAGATCCAGCCGCCCTGCAATGAGGAGAATGCACAAGTGTGCGGCCACGCTCTGCCATGTGACAGGGAGCACATTTGCCATACCAGGCAATGTTAGCAGGGCTGGGGGGAGGAGGGGGCCACCACAACCCACCCACCTCCCCCTCTGGAAGACAAGCACCAAGCACCAGGGCAATGGAATATATTATGCCAAATAATATGAAACAACAACCTTAACAAATGAGCAAATGCTTTCTAAGCTACTTCTGCATTTCCACTGTCATAGAGTGTATTATTTTTTTCTCCCAGCAGAAATTTATTAACCAAAGTGAAGTAATTTCACAGAACAGGAAGGAACAGGTTATGATTTAACATTTAACGTGCTGGCAAAACACTCTCTGTACAGCATGCTAGATAGCAGGGGGTGAAAATCCCATGAGGGTTTACAGGCTCCTTAAATGCTCTCAACTGAACATGCTGTGAGCAAATGCTTCTCCTTGTCCTCATCCCACCCATTTCACTGCACTCATGTCTAGGTACCCATGACTTCATGAGACACTGATCACAGAACCTTTTTACTTGGGGAAAACACAATAGTTAGCAATACACTCCCTGTTTTCTACAGATACCATTTAAATTCAAGATTTTAGTCCTCTACAGAAAATAATTTTGATATTTTGACATACAAACAGAGAAAATTTTTATACTTGATTTCCAAAACAGTTGCTTGGAACTTAGAACAGTTCCTCTGCCTGCGTGAGATTCTCCAGATGCTTTCCACCATATAAACTTCCACTAACTTCAGCAAAAGTCAAGAACATCTAGTTCTTGTTCAATTAGTCTCCATTGTTGAATACATATGGTTTGTTTTTTTCATGTTTGTGGTGTGGGCTTTTTTATTTGTTTGGTTTTAAAAAAGTTGCTGAAAATTATCATTGTGTTTCAATGCCTTGAAGAAAAAAATGGAGTTGTATTTAAAAAAAAACAAACTGAAGTATGTGAATTCAAGATTTTTCTTCTTCCTTCTAGTGGCACTGTGAGTAATACTAATTTATGGGCTGAATACCTGCAAACTTTAAAACTGAAAAGCAAAATGTATCTATAGCCTTGTTTGGGGTTAAAATAAGTAACCTCGACTATCAAGCTAAACATGTGTCAGAAGTAGGGATACATTTTTTGCAAAGAACATCCTAGGGTGTAATTTTCACAAGATAATAGTTTAAAACATCTCCAATTCATCCGGGAGATTCATACTAGCTAAAAAGTTTTAGAACTTCCTTTGGTGTAATTGTTGAATGATACACTATCAACCAGGGAGCAGTTTTGGCACAGAACCGCATTTTCTCTAAAAGCGGAGAATGACAAATGTCTTAAATAACTGAATGAGACTTCTTCACAGGTAGTAGAGTTGTTTTAAGACAGCAATAAAATGGTCATCTTTAAAAATATAAGGGCCAGATTTATTGTATGGTTGCATTATTGGGTTTTATTTCCCACAATGACATGAGAGAAAATATACAGCAATTAAAGATTTCCAATATAAATCACAGTAAGCAGACTGAGTTCTGAAACAAAACTGCCCCCAGAAAACACCCCGGAACAATAGAAAGGCCATTTTATTTTCCATTAGATGATGCGTGGTCAACTTTTTTTCTAATCTGACAGGTAAAGGCTTACATGCTATCATTATGCAAACCAACAGAGCTAGGGTCACTTTGCATTACTTCTAACCAACCTTCATTATTGTCTTTAGACATGTACTTATTGTTTTCTCACCCCCTCCCATAAAGATTAAACCTAAACAAGCCAGGAAATGGGCAATGTACAGCTGAGTATTGCATTTTACTTTTGAACAGAAGCATCCCACTGAAATTCATCTCCCAAAGCTCCCACCTTCCCACCACTGGCTCGCTTTGCAGAGCCATCAGCCTCAGCACACACACTACATTTATTTCAGATGAAGCTAAAATGGAAGATGCACTTGAACATGCTCCAATAATTAATGTGTTCTCATTCTACAAAACCAGGCTTGACCTCTTCGGACATCAAACAGCTTTGAAATAGCATGGTGTGGACACCAGGGCTCAAGCACTAAGTGTTTCACTCTGCAAATCTGCTCCTATTGGTACTCCCTATTTGCTAGAGGAGCCATAGGCAGTATGGCCGTGGAAAAAATACTGAATAAATGCATTTTATTAAGATTATACAGACAGTGAACAAAATGTTCACAGTGATTCTGAAACAGCTGCATGGTTAAGTTGCACCTTTATTTCATAAGCAGCAACCTGAGCTGTGGAGATTCTTTGTCTTTTTACTAGGCAAAAAATACAGGTTGAGGTGTGAGAATTTTGACATTTATTGTATTGAAATAATAAAAATCTGCCGCACATGAAACCTACAACCACTGAATATAGGGTAATCTAAGCACCAAGTTAATGCTCTACTTTCATGAAAAATTCTGGAGCAAAAGGTTGTCATAGATGAAGTTTCCATGAATCATAAATTCCAGAGTGAGCAGCACTGGTGTGCAATGAAATAATAAAAAGGAGAATTCCAGTTTAATATATAATTTCTGATTTTAAAGTATTTGCTAATTTAATACAAATGTAAAAAAGAAATATATTAAATTAATTTAATGTTAAGAAATATCAGTAATTCTACTAAGCAGGTGCCCACTAACATATTGAGGTAAATTTTCTGTATTACTTGCATTTGGCTGATGAAACTGTGGAACTTCATAACACAAAACATACACCTAAAGCAAATGAACAAGTACTGCAAGTGTTGCATTAGCATAAATTGTGCATACAAAACTTAGGAAAAAAATAGAACTACCTCCATCCACAGGTATCTTTGTTTCTGGAAATTGATTTCTTGAGTAGCACTATGGAAGATTTATAAAAATGATTGCTATACTATGGTCTGTTTTCCCATTTATCACATGGGCTTGAAAGCAAAGGCAAGCCCATAAATGAGCAGGAGTTAAGAGCAATCACCCTTTTAGAAAACAGGACTACAAAGTATTGCATTTCTAATGTATTATATATATAATAGTTCTGCAGTCAATATTAAGTAAGAAATGTTATTAACAAGTCTCTTTATCTGTGCAGCCATATTTTTTATTACAAAATGGAATAAGGGTATACAGTTTTCTGAAAGTTCACATCATTCATAGCATAAGTGTTAAAAGCCGCTTGAATATTCAAGAATATTAGAAATTAAAATAATAGTAATAGTATATCTGTACTGATACATTGATCAATTAATCTGAAATGCTAACTATGTTTTACAATAAAGTTAACAAGTACTATTGTGATAGTTCTGTTAATTCTGCACAGATTAAAAACTCAACTTTTGAAGTAAACTTGGTAGAAAAACCTAGAAAAAAGTTGTCAGGTTTCTGGGTTTTTTTTGTAAAAGCTCACAGGACTGCTGCCACACAAAAGCCACAATTGACATAAATATTTAGAAAATAGCTTAAATAGTTTTTGAATACACCTTTAAAACCAGAAAAACATGCTTTTCTACAGTAACTGCATTAGTCGGGCATAGGTATCTCAGAGTTAGAGTATGAGCTCATGCTCACTGCAGTTTTGATGCTCATTTAAAAGCAAATTCAAAGTAGATTTTTCATTGCATAATATTTAGGAAGTAAACACTGCCAAACTGAAATCATGCTCATCTGTCTAATAGATATTTACCTAGAAACTCGCATATAATATCCTGCTCCTCTTGCTTTATTTAAATTCTATAAATGCCCAAATTTGCTAAACTGTTTCATAATGACTTCTGTTATACTAATGATCTCATTTCTTGGAAAGAAATAGTTGCTTTACCCCTAATTTCTATACAGGTATGAGAAAAGCTGGTAAAAATATATTGCTTTGGCATAACTGTTGCTGGGAGAGATTAATATCTATCTTATCACGTTCATCAGAGCAGGCTATACCATTTATATTTCACTGTAAAACAAAGAACTATTACATGTTGCACAAATATGCTCGATATTTTGTTAATGCTTCACCCTTCCTACTATAACATGGCTATACCCGTACTTACTTCCTTATCAGCAAAATGTGATTTTCAAGAGTAATGTTCCTGGCTGACATATGATAGAAAGGCAATAAAGCCACAGCTAGGTTCAGCTGAAGCTGAATTTATGACACCATTTTGGATGCATACACATGGCCCCCTGTCAGTACCTGCATCTCTCATTTTCAACCACTAGATGGTGTGGAAAAATTAAAAAATTGCCTAGGATTCCTGCCGACTGCCACAAAATCCAAGTATTTATGTAGTGGATTAGGAAATATTTTAGAAGAAAAGTCTTGACCCACTTCAGGATGGTTAGGCTCACTTTTTCTTTGGTTATATTTTCACTTACCGGACAAAGAGCTCATAAATGATTAGACCTTGAAACTGAATCAAGTGGAGGGTTAAGACAGATAATTCTCTGGCACTTTCCCCTCCAAGGACCCTAAATTCCAAGCTGACAGTAGTGGCCAACACTCATTTTTCTGAAAAAGCTGTAACAATCTTTAAGCGAAACAGGGCTGAATTTTCTGGGCTGTATTTTGGAGTAGAAATCATTCCCACAGAGAGAGGCTCTATATATCTGGAGCAGCAGCAAGCCTGCTTCAAGGACTGATTACGGATTAATCACGCCATGGCAACAGGACAGTTGATATACAGAAGACAGCTTAAGCTACTGTTTTTCTATTTTGCTCCATTTTTTAAATTAAATTTCTCACTCTTTTGGGGAAGGAGTAGCAAACAATTTTTTCACCTACAAGCTGAAGATTAAGATTTTATCGTCCCCATAATGTACCGAAGAGCACAACCCACAAAGAGGCCAAACTCGTACAGTGGAATCCATTCACTCATGGGCTTTTTGTGGGGAGCGAGAGGGGGAAGAAATAGTTATTTTAAATTAATACAATTCTTTAGAGCTGAATAACTGCTTGAAAGTTTGCCCAATCCACAAGCTTTATTCAGCCTTTAGTAATGCAATTCAGTTATTAGTTTAAGTGACAATGAAATACCTCAAAAGACATACATGGTCAAATTAATATTAGTAATACATCTTCTGTATTTTTATATAGGACTGTCCTTCTATCCATAAATCTTAAATTTATTTCAAACATAAGCTGTTACATTTATTATCCAGAAATGTAGTTAAAGTTATCGCAGAAGATTTAAAGCAATTGTGACAAAACTTAATTTGAAACTAGGACAAACAGATGTCTTTAGCTTTCATACTTGTGTATTTCAGTGACTTACAATATTTTTTGTAGTAATTACACTGAATGGCAATTAGATAAACATATTTTTTAAAGCAGGTTTTTTCCAATGAGAACTTTAAAAGCTCAGCTTTCTTTTTTAATATGTGGGGAAAACAGAAATTTCCTCTGAATAATTGTTCAGAAGTAGACTGCAATGGACCATGAGATACATATTTTAACAGAGGCTTTGTTTTTGTTGGGGAGGTAAAGGAAAATTAACCAACATTAACATAGAATATAACTTCATGTCTTTACTGTTTAGTCCCAATTCAGATGAGAGAAATTGCATTTCTCATTTGCTTTGCAAACAGAAATGTAGTAAAAAATACCCAAATCTGTCAGAGCAAACAAATTTGGAATCTGAGCTCTCAGAACAATAACAATATGCATACAAAGATGAAAGCATAGCTCAAAAAAAAAACAAACCATCTTCTGTAGCAAGAACCCAAAAAAGTCAGAATCAGCAGAGTCAGGAATATAAAACAGGAAACAAAAAACATAACATACAAGATAACTTAAAATTCTACAAGGTTAACTTCTATGAGCAGAAAGTACATTGTCTCCTGTTAAGTCAGTTAACAAATGGTAGCCAAGATTTAACAAGTAAATAAACATGCTTTAAAGTTAATTCCTGTTACACGGCTATGTTTTAATTGTGATTATAGTTCATTTGACAAAATAATTAATTGCAGTGAGTATCTGATTGCAGACAAAGGATCTGAAAGGGAGTGCCAATTTCCCCCCACAGAACTGTGGGAATGTGCCCTTGTGCCATGGCTCTCTTTTTACAACATGTAGCCCCAGTAGTGTCTCATACCTTGCTGATAATGTAGATAACGTCACCACGTTTAAATGTCAACTCATCAGTTTCATCTCCTGTGCAGTCCCACAAACCTTGATAGAAATTGGCATAATCGGTATTTTTGCTATCTGCAAAGAAAACAGCATCTAATTATAAAACAATCAAGATCAAGGATAACTAAAGTTACTCTTTAAATCTCCAGATAGTACAAAGCAATTTATTAGCACACGCTTCTTATTCCTCTTTTCAGAAACAGCTCCTTCCTGGCATGAAAGCAAGTGAAAAATAAGTTTAATGCACAAGCCCTTCACAGCGCAAGTGATGCAAGTTGCATCACTTAGAGACATGAAGCTACAGGTTTTCAAGGCATTTTTCAAACCTGCAACTTAAAGCAGCTATTTTTCCTCTACCAGTATATTTCTAGCAAGCCATATATGTATCCCAACTTGAAACTGATAAAACTGCTAGAATATAATTAATAATGATCAGTGAAAGGAAGCTAAAGCATTTCGTGATACACTCCCCCTCTTTCTCCTGTTCCAACAAAATTAAATAGCTTCTCTGAGAACCTTTGAGATAATCCTTGATTCTTCCTTCTGAAATATTAGAGAACTTGGAAACTGTTGCTGAAACTGCATTTCAAAAATATTTGTGTCAGCTCTAGTTTAGGACATTAAGCCCTGGCTAAACGTGCATCTACACTGCGGTCATAAACTCATCCTTCTAGCAGCATAAGCACAATGGATGTGCTGTGTTCAAGCTGCCATACAGACCATTAACTGATTGATTATTTAGCACTCTTTGCTCTGTAATACGGCAATAACACAGTAATAAATGCTTTGTCATACATTTACAATACAGAGTACATCTATTGAAACACAGTGCTCACACACAGTTAAATACACTGGGTGCTTCTGTTGCACTGCAAACTATTTCCTGTTTTTAATTCCATGAGAATGGAGTGTGATGAGTTAATGCAAAAAGAATGTAAGCAATACCACTAAGATGACCGGTTACATTATGTATACACTAACCAGACAGAATGTATATGTACTAATAATTTACATCACTGGAAAGCTATCTTCTAATTCTGATAACATAAATATCACTGAACTGGCTGGATCAAGGCTGTCATCTTAGTTTTGTTACATGATCCCTGAACTGCAGGCTTGCTGGTTATTTCAACACACACCAGTTACATTTGCATGTCATTAGCACTCTGCACCATTGTTTACAGTTTACAATTTAACCGTGATTGGTTCACTTTATTACCAAAAAAACCCTGCTAAAATATCAAGTATCAGGAGATAGAAAGCATCACACTATAAAAGAGTATCAGTATTCAACTTGTGTTCTTCTCTATTTTGGCAAATACTTAGATTTGAATTTTAATATTCTCTGTATGAGCAAGAAGAGCTTGTTTTCTCTATCTCCATTTCCACCTATGTTCTGTGCTATCTTGTTTGGGTGGAAATACTGTCATAAGGCTAAATATTCATAACCTTCAATTCAAAGCTGCTCATGCCACTTTATACCCACCATTTCATTTTCCATAAACTGGTGATTACAAGCTACGACTTGGTGTGTAGCACTAGGGGGCGGCCTGGCTGTCAGGGCCCAAAATTTGTCCTTACCCCAAAAGCAACAACTGATCCCCATATGAAAGCTCACAATCATTCAGAAATAAGAGATTTGGTTATTTGAAAATGCAAAGACATAATCAATTCAATGTAGAAGGCATAATCAGTTTGATATGTTGCACCTCCAAATTTTGGCCCTTCCTATTTTTCACCTCATTATTCACCAATTTAGCATTAGACAATTAAAAGCATTAACACAGGTTAGCACAAAATTAATTTGTGATAAATATTATATCAGAATCTCTCCTCAGTCATTTCTTACTGTTCTGACCACAGTTCCCAACTCTGTGATGTAAACAATAATATAAGTCCACATGAGAAAAAAAGTAAAAGAACTATTTTGGTCTATCCCACCTCTCAAATCTTTCATCAGTTGGCTTATTGATTTTGTTTAAAACACATTAATCAGGACTTTTGCTTCTTCAGAACATCACTGAAAGAAATCATGACTTTTCACATTGACCTTTACCATTTTGAGCTCTGCTCTTACCTTTATGTGCCTGAAGTAACTCCTGTTAACACTAAAGTGAGTTGCAACAGAACATTTCTCCTTTTACGTTCATCATGAGCATTTAATTAAGTTTTAAAGTGGAAAACAACTTAATTAAACATGTGAACACACTGGAAAGATACATTTTAAAATAAGCCTATTGCAACAATGAAAATACCAAAGACTTACCATAGCTCTATGCCCTCATTTTTGAATTCAACATAAAATAGAGTTGTTTAAATCAGAAAGCCACATTTTCCAGAAAAATATATACCAGTATACCAGGAGCATAGAAACAAAATACATGGAAAGAAAGTGGCAGTGCAAGTTTGTGAACAACTATGCTGGTCTTTCAAGAAGTGTTAATTTCAAATCTGAAATCCCCTCTTATGCCCACCAGCACAAGTTTCTTAAAATTCTGTAGGGGCAACTATCTATACATAAAAGAGAATTGTAAATGTAACTTCAGACTTCATACACCTAAAGTGAAAAAGGCTTCATAAAATGATTCATAGTGCTTGCAAACACAGGTGTAAAATGAAGAAGAAAAAAAAAAGAAGAAGAAGAATAAGAGGCTGCAAAGATCTCTGCAAAACACAAGACCACTTGTTTTTACATTGGTCCCTTTCGGTCTGAGAAGACATTGAAAGATTTCATTTTATTGCCTCTGAAGAATGGTATAAAACAAAACCAGGAGGTCTGAGTAAAGGAATTTGGTATTTATATGGCAATGAAATAATGTGAAGCTTCTTAAACACATGTAGTACCTGAAAACAGATGGACTTAGCATCAAGAATTTACATGCCCATTACAGTTTAAATTCAAAAGGTACTGATTTGCTGGTGTTACTCTGTTACAATTACACTCTATTCTCAAACACTTTAAAATGTAGTGTGCCTTAAAAATACTATGATGACATAATTGCTAAACTGAAGTGTGCGGTGCTTTGAAGGTATGGTCACTTGGCCACAAATACAAGTAAGACATGATAAAAAACATTAAGTGTGTAGCTGAGGGCAGAAAGCCCTTTGGTTTTACCTACCCACTGCTTTTAAGATTACCAATCCCAAAACGTGGCTGAATGGGATTTTGGATAGGTTGTTTCTCCAGAAAATATTTCTTTCATTCCAGGAGAGCTATGTGGATGAACCACTATCCAACAGTTTCCAGTACTCTTCCTAAAATAATATGGTTTACTTTACTATCTCTGCTTTTCCACTAACAGTAATAGCAACAATGGACATTTTTGTTCAATATACTGATGAAAACACTTCAGAATTATTTTGACAGATCGAAAGGCAATGGATGCCAGCCTCTGACATTAGTCTCAGACTGCTTATTTCACTGAAAAATACTGGCATCTGACAATACATGCTTGAAGAAAGAAAGGTGAACAGTTCAGGTAAAAAAAAAATCTGACATATATATCACTCAAGCATGCATCTCAAATATTAGACTATTTAAATCTTAGAAATGTCATGGATTACTCAAGGGGGAAAAATTATAATAATATTCTAACAACCACAACAGACAGAAAAGAAAAACCAAACCACAACTTGAAAAACAGATTAATAGTACATATTTCAGAGGGATTGAAGTGTGCTGTCTCACTGCAGCCTAAGACAATCTAACTGCAGATTGTTTTAATTTCTGCCCCATATGATTTTTGCAGTTCCCATTTCTGAGCACAAACCTGAAAGAACACTAAACTGACCAAAACAAAAGCATGAACTACAACCTAAATATGAAAATGCACTACATAAAACATTAGGATAAATGCAATTGTGCCTGATTTCCCTCAGTCATCCATTTTAACACTGACAGCATGTAAGCTAGCAAACCCTACTATGGTAGTGACTTAGAGCCAGTAATTTTATTATTTGCTTGCACATTCCTTGTGTAATGAAGGAATACATGTGAATGTTTTCCATTCACATTCTTACTCATGTTCCTCAACTTTTGGTAAGATTTTTCAAAAGTTGATAGTGTCAGATTTGAAGATTACTTAACAACATTTGAAAAAGCCAAACTGTAGCCCTTTTTGGTAATGATGTGCTCAATATTTACCATAGTGAAGGCTTAAAGACGGAGGTGAAGTTCAAAATTAATACTACCAGGATGAGTGTCTTACACAAGTGATCTGGACTTTTGGTTTTGAGTCTCAATCACCAAACAAGACAAGCCCTGTTAAAGAATCCAGTTATTTTTAGCTCTGATCATGTCCTAAACTGCCTGTTATTTACTTGCCCTTTATCCCACAGGCCATAAAAGTTACAAAATAATGGTAAAACTGTAGTGTATTTGTTTGGACTCAAACTCTAATCTACTCCAAGATGCTCAGTTTAGACTTTCTCACTGCCCTTCTCCTGTTCCTTAGTTACCTTAAAATCAACCTATTTACACTGATAAAGCAAAAAAAATTATACTTACTGAAATAATGATTGCAGAAATTATAATTGGTAGACAGTCATAACAAAAAAGACCCAGCAAGCCATATTATATGACTGAAACTCTTCAGTTGCTTTGGTATTTTTAAATTATTAGGTCACTAGCAATTAATGCAAAGCTATCCAGCAGCAAGAGTCAGCACTAAGAACAAAAGAATAAAAAGAACTCGAGTCTGAAAGTAAATTGAAGTAGAAATATGTTAGGACAAGAAAAGAGTAAGGAAAAAAAGAAAATTATTTTGCACTAATCAGCTTGAGCTCACAAACAATTTGCAAAATATTTTCTGTGAGTTCAGATTTAGTAAAGCTAGGCAATAAATTTAACTTAAGAATGTATGCACTGTTTGTGTGGAAAATCATAAAATATTTTCAAGTCATGTCAGGTATTTATGATGTGATGCCTATCAGAAATACTCGTGTCAACTCAGCCCTAAAAGTCTAACAAATTTCCAGTGTTAAATAGAGAACTAAGATCAGATCACAAAAATATTGCTTGAAATGAATCTGACATCTGGGGGGAATTGCTATGGTATTTTCAATGACATGACACAAATACTAATAAGATTGATAAGGCTGTTCTCATAGCAATTAAAATTTTTCAAAAATGCAGATGCTAAGGTTTCGGTTCTTTTAAAAGTATGACCAATTAGAACTTCAGGAAGGTACATTAGTGGAAAAAAAAATACTGTTGGCAACTCTATAATTGGATTGACCCCACGCTCCATTATGACAACACACTGTTATAATTACAGTAATGTCTAAATGAGTACTAAATATTAAGGCTGTAATGATTCATGTTGTTTTACACATTTATTTTTTTTTAGCAGAGCACAATGCTAACAGCATCTGATGGCTTGGCTCTTGTTTCCTTTCCAAGAAAAGCAACCCAAAACTCCTCACAGCAACCTGTTCCAGGCTTTCCTGTATGGGTCAGGAAATCAGGCCTCTGTTTCCTTTCCACATGTTGCAACAGGAAGAGCACTGCAGAGCTACTTCCTAAAGGAACTCTTCTTGCCCACCCCTTCCTTGACAGCCCTGAAAGAATTATGTGTATTATGTACAATGGGGGAAGGAGAGCCAGATTGCATGTCAGTGCAGGTCACAGTTACAATGCAGCAGATCTCAGAAAGGTGTAAGGTCTGATAAGAGGCAAGTCTTCTCTATTTGCTGTGTCAAATCACCAATAGTTTATCTAAAGGTTTGTGCCCTTGAAGCACAAAAATATATTGTTTTTAAGCATAACTGGAAATACCTTTCTATCAAGAAAAGTTGTCTGGCTATGTGACTTTACATGGTGCATGCAGTTATTTTTCCAGCCCCAGAGATAATTAGCACAAGGACACTTTGCCAAGCTAAAGCTGAGAGAATATCCTTCACAGCCTTTCTGGGCATTTGTGTCCTTTTCCAAATTTTATGCTGCTGTCACTGGACTCTGGCATTTCTTACCCAATTCATTTGCTTTCTCTGGTAATCATATGCAATGAAGATATGCATGGCCAACATTTAAACAGGCTGCAGATCAATTAGTGGTCTTAAGTTTATCTGATTTTTATCAAAGAAGACAGAGCTTTGGGTCGATTGTCAGAGCCTGTGTCAAGTTGACCTTTTCAGAGACGTCTACATTGCCAGTCCCTTGGGCAACTTGTTGTCCCCTGTTAGTCTCTGAATGGCAGAAGTCTGTTCTGCTCAAGCACAAAGTATACACAGATGTCTATATTACATTCTTATAGGTTTGACAGCAACTGCATGTTGTATCTATAAACTGTCCTTTAGCAGTGACACTTCCTCAATGATGATAAGCTAATTTATGCAACTAAATCTCCTTTGTGCAGAAATGAAAGCTAATTGAGTCATTACAAAGTAATTCAGGAAGGAATACCTTGTATAAATTGGCTTACTTTATAAATCCTTCTCAAGTGGTTTTCATGCATCCTAAGTGGTGCTTAAGCAGTTTTGCTGCCATCACATACCCAGGTAAAAAAGACAGCTTTACAGAGCTATAAAAACATTATTTTAAAACAGCAAATGGAAGAGAAAAGAAAATAAAGGTAAAAAGGAAGCGTATACACATAAAGAGGAAAGATTTTAATTACCTGAAACAGTGGAAACTTCCTCCTGGCTCTCATTGCTTGGCACTTCAGCTTTTGAAGAAAGACGTTCTTCTGCAAAACACATAACTGCAAATGAAATTCTGAAGGGTCACCTCAGCTGACAGGAATTACAGCCCACATTAGCCTGAAAAACATACTCTGTATTTCCAGATTGCAAGCCTTGTTTACTATTTTGCACTTATACAGAAGTTGAAACATTGTTATGTCTGTGGTTTCCGCCATCCATTCAAACACTCCAAGAGCTTTCTTTCAAAATCTCAGATGTGAACATCTGTTTCCCTTTTCACTCTGGTCTGAATGCAGACATAGAGCTACAGTTCTGCTGATCTGCAGTAATTCTGAGACAATTAGAATGAGGGTCCTCTTCTGCTGCATACATTTCTTGTCAGAAAAGGATAAAGAAAAGGAAAACAAGCTGTGAAAAAATATCCCGAGCCCAAGCAATAGCTCAGCTGTAGAGAGCAGTATGCAACAAAGGCAGATGACATCTTACCTTCAACACTGTCCTACAGACACAGTAGCTCAACATCTACATGATGGGAACACAGCCACTACAGATACCATGCCCTTCACTGCTCCTGCCCACTGTGCTGGGCCACAATTTTAAGCAAGCCAGACTATCAAATGACTTAGTGCAAGTTTAGAAGACAAGAAAAGAGAAAACCTGGAAGTGATCAGCTCTAAAGCATGTTTACTGGCTAGCAGGCTTGGAACACTCTGAAATCCCCATGGGCAATTTCAAAAGATGTGCTCCATGCTCCCTGTCTGGCACAGACATTGAACTCTCATGTCCAGACCCTCACTTGAGTAAATCCACACTCCACTCAGTACAGGGATAACAGATCCGCTCCTCGCATTTCCCAGTCAACAATTCTGTTGATGTAGTAAAAAAGGGGAACAAACTTTTAGCTGAATCCTGTCTTTAGGTTCATAAGGAAGTAGAAACAAATTTATCTTGAGATTTACAGTATATCAAAACTGACAAGGTTGCTGTACTGAATGAGGAAATAGTATATTAATAAATCCACATCTCAAACATGAATTGGACTTTTAATACATTTAAACTATCTGGCTTTGCTACTCATCACATCTTCTACAGATAGTCAAGCTTCCTTTTAAGATACACATTTCGGCAACTAATTTTGATATTTCACTAATGACAGACAACAGATAAAGGACTCACAGTGTTTAAAATGTTCCTCATTGTGCAACTCTTATGTAATTGCCCATTTACTTTGACAATGAGTGAATTTTATATCAAGAGTTCAAAGGATATTTTAGCCTTGTAAAAATTTAATCTAGCCACAAGACTGTTCCTGCAAACATTAAAGCAAATGTTTAAAGCACAAGAGTAGACCTGTTGGAATGAGTATGCATAATTGCTGCTAACCTCTATACACAGTCCTACATATATTACAATTACATCATAAGATTCACTCTACAAAAAGCTTTGAAATTCTGCCCCACTAAGCCAGCAAGAGGTTTTCTTGAATCTTGACTAGTTAAAAATCTAGTCAAGATGAATATAAACTAATTTTTAAGCCAAGGTGGAGGGGAAAGAACAAGAGAAAAAAATTCCTAGCAATAGAACAGGAGAAATCTGAAGCTGTAGTACACACAAAACATTCTAAACTATGTACTGCATTCAGATGTTCAAATGCATTCCCCTACTTGGCATTAACATTTGTCAAACATTTCCAAGTATGCTCATCTGTTTATTTTAAGAACTCATAATTGAACCATAAATGGCAAAAATGCATCCTTATGTGCTGTCCAGAGCACTAGGAGGCACTGTCATTCTGTGGGTTCCCTACTATGGTACTCACAGGGAGTAGTACTCCAGTATCAGTCACATTTTCTAGAATTGCTCCATTTTCCCAGAAAAAAAACACCTTCATCCATCACATACGGTATTATATTATTCTTTAATTAATTAGAAGTTGATATTACATGTTGCTTGAATGTTTTGACCTAAATCAGTTGCTGTGTTGAATGTCCTATGGATTTTAACTCTATCACTAGTTTAAACTGAGGACTGACTCCAGTAAAGGGTATCTCAACAGAAGTAAAGCAGCAGCAGAGGTCTGAAGAGACTTTTTTGTAAGGTATAGCCAAATACATGTAGATTGCATTGTGATTTCCCAGAAAATATTTATAATATATGTATTCTTCTGAAGAACTTTTTTCCTAGAAACATGAGTTGACCAGATCCACATCTGAAGATATGAAAATACCTGAATCCAAGTTTTTTGAATTCCAAAAGGTGCCAAATTTAAGCACAAACTCACCATATTTGTATACTGGTTTGGATCTCAACCATCCCCACTTATCCCACCTTGCTTTACACTACAGAGCTGTCACAGAGAGGACAAAGTTTCAGGTACAATTAGGGTAGTAAAAAAGAAGCTGTGGTTCTTAACTCATGGTTATAATACTCTGGTATTATGGCCTGAAGCAGTGCAGGCGGTCTACTTTAAACACAGCAACCTCAATTACCTCGAGAACTACAGCTGCAGTCTGATGCAACGTGCATAATTTTGTGTTGCAACATGGCATAGAGTCAAAAGATGAAAAATTAAATTAAAAAATACATTAGAAATATTCTGGGGTTTTTTTAAGATACTGTGTATAAGGAGTCATGCATAACTTTAAAATAATCTGTTCCAGTTTTTCCTGTGTACTTCCTCACACAATTGCTATCACGGCAGAGAGAAAATATTCTTTTCTACCTTCTCACTGTCTCAAAATGAGACTAATGTACACTAATCAAACCAATGAACTCTTCCAGAGCTGTAGACACTAAGAACCCCTGAGATACAGATTAAGTTCCATACTATGCTGATACTTAGAGACCTTAATGGCAAACAACCTTCTTGTGACAATGCAACAAGGAACTAACTATATTTGTTAAAGGTTTTTTTCAGTTAGTCCATGAAAGTTGTTGAAAATTATTTATTTATTCAATTTGCAATTTGAAGAAAAAACAACAAAAATAATCACCCAATCACATATGGTTCTACCATCCCCAAAATTTAAAAGGTGAACAATGAATTCTACACTTGCTGAGGCTTTTTACATGAATCCACTAATTTTTTTTTCTTCTAATTTATTTTTTTTAAAAGGAGGAAGGAAAAAAAGATTGGACTACTAGAGTATAAAACAGATAAGTTTGGCTTGAACAGTGCATTCCTCCAATGGAATGTGGTATCTCCATGATAAACATGGATAAATTTAGCAGTTTCCTCTACTAACATGTTACCTAACCATCTTTTTACATTAGACTCTAATTTAATGCCATTATTATTTGGTATTCTATTGCCTTCTAGTTTCTAACACATTGTCATTGTGCAATACTAGTTTACACCTTGAATAATCTCAGTTTGTGAGTTAATGTATTCTATTCAATGCTTTGATTACAGTAAACAAAACCAGCTCAGCTATGCAGCAAAATCTACCAAACCACACAGATGGTTATAAGCTTTTCATTGTGTGGTTTCCATAGCAATCATATTGCAAATCTGGAAGCTTCTTGCAAATAAGCAGCTTGTATTTACATGCCTCTCGGCTGTAGCATGGAACACAACAAGTGAAGTTATTATTCCAATCACATATTGTTAGCAACATGACTGGAAGATGTTTTGATCAGTTCAGATAAAAAGTACTGCAGTGAACTAATTTTTCATCTATTTCAGAATGATACAAGCAATCACACAATTGTAATACACATTCATGTCTCTTCATTTGAAATCTCACTGCAGTGTCAGAAGGTTATAAGCATACAAACGAGTCTTCTAAAATAGATACCCCACAAAAATTTTTGATTATTAAATAATCAAAATAATATATATTACTTTAAATAATATATATTAATATAAATAACCAATAATATATATATTAATATAAATTACCAATTAAAAAAACTACACAGTGTCTTTACTATTGTACTTGACAGATGTATGCAAAAAGCCAGGTGTGCACATGAACTCTGTTGACACTGAATATCACAGGTCTACACTGTTTTGCCCAAGAAAAAGAAATAATGGCTTAACACAAAGAGTATTACTCCTCCACACTGCTTTCTTGCTACCAAATAATGACTCTGCACAAATGCAAACAAGAACTTTCAAACCCAAATAAATGCTTATGAAGGGAAAGAGTCAAAGCCTTTTTTCTCCAGAATTTATAATTTTATTAATTGACCCGCTCCCCATAGCAGGTGGATTATTACTCTAATAAGGAACATAAATCAACCCAGTTACATAATTTTTTAAAAAAAATTAGAAAAAACTGGCTTTTTTAAAAACAATAGTATTTGTTCAGAGAAACATTTAATATTTCCAGAAAAGCAGCAATAAATGCACAAAATTTAAGAACAGGATTGGTTACATAATTTGGCCAAACTGACATGTCATGCTAGCATTTGTGGTGAGGGCTAGTGACCATCTGGGACAAAGAAATAAATATTAATGCTCTGTTTTATGCAGGGCCAGCAAATTGCTTTACGTGAGGTCAGTGCTCCCCAGCCTTGGGGATGGGGTCCTCTGTAGCATTCTCACCTGTACAGGCCTGTATACTTCACCCATTGTAGGGTTTTAGCCTAAGCAGCTTCATAGAAAATCTAGTAGGTTTACTTGCCTTGGTGTGTGTATTTATAATAGTAGGGATTTTAATTTCTGCTATCTTCTTTTAGACTCCAGACCCGCCCATTACATATGAGAGAGACCTCTCTGATCTGGAAGAGATCTTCCAATGCAATTAGAAAAACTCCAACTTTGATAATCTTCCAATATTCCCAAAGATCTGCCCCTTTCCCCCAGCCCCTCTGGGACATGGCAGATTACTGGAAGATTTACACACAGCTTCTTGACATTTTGCCTCACCCTGCATTCCCATTAGTAGCCTGGTGTACTCTGTAAACAATGAAACAGTTTGGAAAAGGCTGCTGAAGGTGCTACTGTCTAGCCATGGTGTGAGATCTTGGGAGCAGCAGAGATGGGGAGACAGACTCTTGTTTTATTAAAGCTCCAACTGACTGTACTATAATGCTTGGT